GACGTGGTCCGGGGTGGCCACGAACTGGGCTCTGTGGAGGATGTCACTTGGAAAGAACCTGCGGGGGGACACGGGACAACGCTCTGTGAAGAGCCCGGCCGGCTCTCCGTGGACGCGGCGACGAAGGAAGGCGTGGTAGGCAGCCTCTTCCCGCCCGGTGCAGAATCCGAATTGGCCGCTTGATTTGCTCGCCACGTTTATGGAATTGACAGTTCGGATTCTGCACCGGGCGGGAGAGGCTGCCTACCACGCCTTCCTTCGTTCCTTCCACAGCCCTTAAGAGCAAAGCCAACCCGCGGGGTTTATTGGCAAACGGGACGGGGGTTTCTAGGCTTCCTTCTGGCTGAAACCGAGCCATCCCGGGAACAGCCCCGGCGCACAAAGCAAGCGCGTTAGAACTCAGTGCCAGCAAAGAGCTGGACGTGGAGGGCGGTTGTGTGCAATCCGCCGGCCTTAAAACTCTCTCTCTCTCTCTCTCTCTCTCTCCACACACACACGCGGTCAAGCCTTCGGGAGGAAGCAAGAAAGTATCGCCTTCTCGCCAGTGCATCCTTCCTATCTCTCTTTCTCTCTCCCTCCCTTCTTTCTTTCCTCCCTCTCCCCCTCCCTCTCTCTCTCTCCCTGCCTCTCTTTCTCCCTCCCTCCCTCCCTCCTGCTCCCTCCTCTCCCCCTCCCTCCCCTCTATATCTCTCTCCCCCTGCTTCTCTCTCCCTCTGCCTCTTTCTCCCTCCCTCCCCCTTCTCTCTCTTTCTCTCTCCTCTCTCTTTCCCCCATCTCTTTCCTTCCCTCTTTCTCCCCCCTTCCCCATCTCTTTTCTCTCCTCTCTCTTTCATTCTGCCTCTTTCTCTTTCCCTCTTTCTCCCTCCCTTCCCGTCTCTGTCCCTCCCTCACTCTCTCCCCCTCCCTCCCTCTCTCTCTCCCTGCCTCTCTTTCTCCCTCCAGCCCTCTTTCTCCTTCCCTCCCCGCCTCTTTCTCTCCTCTCTCTCTCTTTCAATCTGTCCCTCCCTCACTCTCTCTCTCCCTGCCTCTCTTTCTCCCTCCAGCCCTCTTTCTCCGTCCCTCCCCGCCTCTCTCTCTCTCTCTTTCTCTCCCCTCTCTCTCTTTCAATCTCTCTCTCTCTCTCTCTCCTCAGCACCAACGCTTACCGAAGGCATAAATTTTGCGGAAGGCAGGCAGGAAGGCCCACCAAACGAAAACAAAACCAGCTATGGGCCTGGCAACGGGCGCGAGGCTCCTTCCCTCCCCCCAGCGTGCCTTCTCTTCCCCTCCCCCGCCGGCAAAGAGACAAAAGTGGATCGCGGCTAATTTAAAGGTTGGTTTGTGTGCGAGCGAGCCACGGCTTCTCCCCCGCCGACAAGAGACGGAGGCTTTGAAGGTAGCCAGTTCCTTGTCAATAAGTGCCTTTTGTCTAAGCCATATTCAAATGGGGAAAGCATGGCTCGCCAATCGCCATAGAAAGCTTAACCCACCATGAACATTGTCCAAGCACCAAGCCTTCCGTTCCGGCCAGAATTACTTTGAAGTGGGGCAAGATGAGCTGTAGTCAATTTCAACTCTATAGACTGGGGGGGGGGGGAGGGCCGTCCCCTCCCCCAGCAGAAAACGAGGAACTTGTTTTTAGCCTCCTCATTGTCCGATACCTTTCATCTCTGATATATTTCCCATAAATGATTGTGTGTGGGGGGGGGGACTTTTTCCGCTCCTCCTTTTCACCACAAAACTCCTCCTCTCGACTGCAGCCCCCAACCAGGATGCCCAGTTCATGCCTTCCCCACCTTTACCTCTTTGCTCCCCGCTTTCTAAAAATAATTCCATGAAATCTCCTTTGCAAACCTCCTTTAATTTCCACCATTTCAACGCCTCGGCTGGAAAAAAAGTCGTCCCCCCCCCCACGAGAATTACAGAACCAGATAATTAGGAAATAAGTTGGGAGAAGCATTTTTGTGTAAAGCACATTGTAGGGAAAGGGAGATAGGTAAGGTCTAGCCAATCCCCTCCTCTTTCCTCAAAATAAAACCTTAAACCAGTCCCCAAACATCTCCAAGAATCTCCGAGTTGTCTCCCATTGTTTAGGAATACAACTATAGTTAGATAGAAACACATTGTAATATTTTAAATAGCAAGTGGCATATGTTGCTCATATCAGATTTTTCACCCATTCTCTTTGCTTAGAACACAGTTTGAAAGTTTAGCTCTGAAAGGTTAGCTGGTTAAATAAATTGCACCAAATTGCTTTACAATAGAACACCGCAGACCTTTAAAATAATATTAGTTAGGAACGCTTTAATCCTATTTCATATTTGTCCTTACTTTTTCATCCAAGGTGGGAAAAATATTGAAGAGCAGCTCATATTGTCATCTGCCCTCTTCATCTTTCTTCCAACAATAAAGCACAGATGTGAGATATAAGAATATTTTTATTTCACTTAAACTTTTTTTTACTTATGTATGATCAGGTTAACAAATATGAAGGAGGTACTAAGTGTTATTTTTAAAAAATGTGATAAAGCCATGGCACAATAAAGAATACTACATCCCCAAAGATAACCTCAATTATTTGGAAGTATGTCCATTGGAACAAAGTACCTTCTTCCTAGTAATTGTGTACCTTTAAAGATGTCAAGTTTCACATTAAGCAAAACACGAGGGCTGGTAATAGTGCAATTTTTCTTTCCAAAAGGAGGACAAGAAAATAAAATGTATAAATTAAAAAATAATGCATTTAAATTCAGCAAGACATTTTCCCCCCAAAATAAAGACTGCCAAAATTGAAATTACCTTGTGAAAGTCCATGCCTTTTTCATTGTATTTTTCTTAGTATCTGAACGGATTGCGAATAAAGAAATGGAAAACAAGCAAACGTAGTTTAAAAGTGGTTTGTATTCAAGTTCCCTTTATATACTTATGGATATAGACATTAAAATGTCCTTTCCTTTGTATAACAATATGGTGAGGGCATTTAAAAGCTTTCAGATGGACAGTACCATGCACTGGACTAAAAAAACAAATATATCTATAAACTACTGAACACCAACACACTGCACAGCAGACATGCAGAAAGGCTCTGTTTTCACATTACATTATTCATTCAAGTAAGTTTGAAAAATAGGGTGAGGTTTCCTCTGAAACAAACCACAGAAGTATAGACAGCTTTCACCAAAAGTATAATAGTCTTCTTTGGTGTGTTCTGTATGCTATAAAAAGGGGGAGGGAGATGCAATGATATCTAAAAATTAAAAAAAATAAATTAATTTAGCTGTACAAAATAAATCACTTCCACATACAATTTATAACAATGACAAGACTACATATTACAATACGGGCACATTTAAAAAAAAAATTCCCACTCCTTTCTACAAGCCCTGGGAATCGGTAAGCAACCAGTTCCTTATTCAGTGGTCTCTGAGGATACATTAGTGCTCTTTAGAATATCTGTAGGGTGTTTATGATGAACCAACATTTTGCATTTGAAATGTTTCACTAACCACATCAGAATTTGTCAGTGTTCCATGACCTTTCCCTTGAATAGCTTGGCAGTGAGGCCAAAGGCAATTTATTTTTTCTCCCACCCCATTCCGTTTATCCATTTATGACAATTTACTTTGGTCACTGAATCATTGCATATAATTACAGGTGGTGAAAAATATGAAATTGCTTATAAAACCTTTGTATAAACAAGGATGAAAAGCTGGGTCATGTAAAAAATATTCTTTCAGAAAGAAAGGTTGTTTCTCCAGCATTATACCTCTTTCAAAAGGAAGAGTGGACAAGAGGGAGAAGTTTGATCCAATGCCTTACTTTGGGCTCCATTTCCAAACATTATTTTCTCATAAATCTAATATACTTCAATTCCGTGTGACTGGTTCACAAGTAAGTATACTTAGATTCATGGTCTCAACTAAGAAATAGGCAGGGGTGGATTATTTTTAAAAAGGAGAACTTGTAAACGAGTCCTGCTAAAAACTAGCTGCCTATAAATAACACCGAAATCAGTGAGAAAATTGCTTTCAGGTACCTTGAATGCCTAAAATAATAATAAATAATTGCAGCATTTACACTGACACCAGCAGTATTTTATTTAATCTCTCTGTCCCAAAATTAGAGCTCAGTAAAGTTTTAAAAATTAGAATTATTTTTAAAAAATGAACATATGCAAAACTAAAGACCTAAAGATATGGAAACATACTGATGTCCTGAGGCCAGCCAATTGATCAATGCAGATTGTTTATTCTGAAGATAAATATTTAGCATAAAGGAACCAAAAGAGAAAATTCAGCTTTTTGTGAAATCTTATTTAATTGGGATTGTATCACTCACTCCCTTCCCTCAACTGACCTGGAAGTAAGCACTATTTAAAGATCAATCTTCTATGCAAGCATTCTTAGCATTAACCTTCAAGGAGCAATTATAACTAGGAATGGCCAGAGTTTCAACATTAGTGTTAGTCTGATGCAAACATCAGTTCAAGGATTATATTCATTCGCTCCATTTTGAGATCTTGGGGGGGGGGGGCGATTCCAAAGGCCATGAACTAAATGCAGAGATTATGAATGCAAAAAAATGGATTGGCAGTTGAACAAATGACAAACATAGAGCAGAATAAATCTTTCAAAGATTATAACGCTTACTCCTGGCATCAAGAGCATCCATTCACTTATGCTGCATTCATGAACCACATTTCTGGCTTTGTTTCAGAAAACATTTTCATGGGACTGTCAAGCTGGCTATGCTGCATACATTGCAAATCAAGCTATGCCTTGAACCTCTCCTAATTTACCCTTAGACTGGGAAGGGTGGGGGCAGAAAAGTAAATGCCTGTCGGGTTATTCTTGAAATCTAAATTGGTTTAAAAAAAAAAGAGTCTTCTTTTTTAATAAAATAAAAAAGATATAAGTCCAATGACTTAAATTAATTACATATACAAACACCATAGGGTTTCATTTAGTTAATAAATAGACCAAGTGAACAAACATGGCATGTGCATATGCCATTCTAGAGTTCTAATGAATAGTCCTTGACTCAGAGTTCCTGTAGGTCTCTTCCTCCTCCTCCTCCTCCTCCTCCTCCTCAGAAGAGGTGGCATTACTGGATGGGGCACGGAGGTGGTTGGCCGCCCCACTGGCCTGGCAAACGTACCATTCGTTGAGGTTGGTGACCTGAGGAGAAAGGCTGGTAGGCTGGCCCCTTCCTGAGTCCTGAAGTGGGGAAAGAGGGGCACCCAGAGCGGTACCCACAGGCTGGTACCCGTGAGATCCTGGGGGAGGAGAAGGTGGTGGGGATTTGCAGTGGATCTTCATGTGTTTTCGCAAAGAGCTGGGGTGGGTGTAGGACTTATCACAGCCTCTGACTTTGCAGAAGTATGGCTTGTCGCTGGTGTGGACATGGGAGTGTTTCTTTCTGTCGCTGCTATTGGCAAACTTCCGGTCGCAGCCATCAAACTCGCATTTAAAAGGCTTCTCCCCTGAAAGACAAAAAACATCTATCTGTTGGTCTCCTTGTGAAAAGAAAGGATGAAAGCCAACCTGCTTGCGTTTACAGGTCAAACCAAACACTAGGATAATGGCGTCAAGCTCTAGCAAAGGAGGTTTAAAGCAGCTTGTAAAACAGAGAGGGGGGAAAAATGGAACATTACATTGCTATTTCTCCCCCTCCATCCTTTCTCACCCCCTCCCCCACCCTGCTGCCATGTACACACTTTTTCAGGATCATCATCATCATCATCTCCATCTCTCAATAAGAAGGCCAGCATATCAAGGTTTAGATTTGCTTCAAAGCACAATCCATACCATCCAGGAACATTGGCTAAACAATGATCCAATACAACACGATTTTCAGATAAAGGCTTCCAAGCCTTAAGAGAAAAATTGCTCGTCATCTCCGCTTTGAATTCTTATTCAAAATTATAAATTGGGGGTTAAAAGAAGGAGGGCCTTGTAAAAGCTACCCAGGGAAATTGACCTATCTTCAGGAAAAAAAAAATTGGCCATAATTTCTTCAAGAGCAGCTGTTTAAACATAACACTGAGTATTTATTTTTTTTAAAGCCACTAAGTTCTCAGGCCGACTGCATTCTCAGATAGGAAGGCATTCATTTTCCCCCTCTGTCATACTTTGCTTTACTGCTTGCCAATGATTGGGGAAACAATCCACTAAAAGAGCAAAGCAAGTATATCCTCATAAAAAGAAGAAGGGATCTACTGCCGAAGAAGGATCTCGCCTCCAGGGGAGTGGGTGGTGTCAGAAATCTAGAGTGACTCCTTTTCAGTGGGCTTAAATTGCAGCTTAATAATAAGTGCAACTTCAGGCTGTCTATTCAGACATAATTGTAAGTTTCTCCTGTTTAGAAGGGATAAGATTCTCCTCTAAAAGACAGAAAGCAAAATAATCTGCAGATCTGTTTCTTGATGCAATTGAATTAAATAGATGGATGCCACAAAAGGCTCACTGACCTGCTCTGGAAGGTTAAACATTTTTGTTGGTGACACTATTATTGTTTTTTTTTTTTTTTAAAAAAAGGAAGCCTCGTTTTGCTATTTTATGGGTAGAACTGAAAATATAATTCTTGCAGCCAGCAATAGGCCAAAGTGGTGGCATCTTTCACCAGGTGGATTTTGCCACAAGAAGGAAGTCCCACCCTTCAACGAGACACTCTGCTTTGGGTGAGGATGCCAGCTAGAACTGCGGGATTTTCGCCTATTTACTATTGCAAACAACCACCATCTGCGCTTTCAGGCGCTACATTCCTCGGGGAAACCTTTTTCCAATGCAAATATTTTCCGGCAAGGGGCCCGAATTGCAAGCTACGCTGTTTCAGTCCAAGCACAGCCTCCGAGTTCCAAGGAGAAAAGAGCAAGGGGACGTGCATAAGCGCGCCAATCGTGCCTACTACCGTCCCTGTCCTATTGGTTCTTTTTATTTTTCTTATATGTATCCATTTCATGTATTCATAACTATGTTTATACTTATGCCTGTTATCTTATAATCGCTCGACAAAATAAATAAACAAATAAACAAAAAACAAAACTGGCGCTTTCTCACGTTCTCCAACAACGCTACTCTCCTAATATTACTGCACGGTCTGTAGAGGCTTCCCGGGCCCGTGTCAGCCCCTCCCCCGGAGGGATTTCGGCAGCGCCCGGGAAGAACGCGAGTTCGAGCCCAGCCAGTCCTAAACCCTTCCCTGAAATCCGAGGCGAGGGGCCTCCCACAGGAGCTAAGACATTCGCGAGAGTTTTCCCTGGCGCGTTTGGGTCGGGCTTTCCATCCATCCTGCTTGGGAAGGGGCGGGGGGATGCGTTGCCTTAGTCACAAGGATCAAATATCCCAACGCGAGACGCCTCTGGGGTTTGCCTTCCTTTCCGGCGAGGGACGCGCCACGGCAGCATCGGGTCGCTGTGGGAAGTTCCCAAATCGCGCCTTGCAGAGGCTCGCTTTTCTCCTTGGGAAACGAACCGACGTTCAAGCCCGGGAAGGATGAAGGGGACGGCGTTGCAACGGAAGCCTTGCTTTTTCCTGCGCCCTGAGAAATCCAGCTTCCTCCCGCTTTCAGTCAAACGAAGCGACCTTGGGAGCTTGCAAAGCTTGAATGCAACACGTTCAACTTCGCGGCTACTACTATTGTTGGATGAGCAGGCACAAAAACAGCCAGGGAGGTGGTTGAAGCCTGGGAAACAGGCCTCAGCAGGAATGCCGATTTACCATCAGCCGAACAAGTACTTAGAAGGCGAGGGCTGGGCAGCACAAGCAAACCCACAACTTTAAAAGCCAGCCATCCACACATCCCATCAGCATCTAAACAGCCACATACAACAGGCATCATATAAATACACACACAACTGCTTAGAGAGGAGTTCCCTGCAGGTGGGTTCCAGACTCAGCAAGCTCGGAAGACAAAACCTCTTGATCCCGGTGACCCACCCACATTTGATCCCTCATTATCTTGGGACACATACATTCGCCTTTATTCGGGAAGCATCTCTTCCTCCTCGGGAGCAACAGCCGGGAAAGGAGCAGAAAAAGGCCACTCACCTGGCCCAGCCGCCTAACCCTCAGCGTTGCCTCTTGCCTGAGCCCTTGGAGGAGGCCTACGAACAGCCTTGAGCCCTGCAACCAGAAAGGTATCAACTCCCTCCTTGGAGTCGGGGAAGAAGAGAGATCCTGGCTGGCTCTCGCCTTCCGGGGAAGGCTGCTCGGAAGAGAAAGAACGCGCACCCGCCACCAGGGCCCCGCAGAGCCGGTCAATCTCCTTTGCCGGCTGTTCCAGTCGGCCAAACTCGAGTTGCCGTGTCCTCCTCCCCTCCGTCCCTTAGACCTGACCGAGCAGGCAGAGGACGAGCCGACCCTTCTGGTTCCCCTACATCAGGGGCTCCCTAAAACTTGGCAACTTTAAGACTTGTGGACTTCAACTCCCAGAATTCTCCAGCCGGAGAAGTCTTAAAAGTTGCCAAGTTTTAGGGAGTCCTGCCCTGCATGCCTGGCGCCCAAAGGATCGCCTCCCGAGCCTCTTTCTAAGGAAGGGACAGCTACCCGGGGCAGCGAGACCTGGAAAAGCAGCCTTTAAAGGGGAAGAGCCCCCAAAAACTGAGGGTGTGGGGGGGGGGGAGACCAGATAGACACCCCCCCCACACACACACACACACTTACCTCGTCTCTCCGCCGAGCACCGGCAAGAAAAAAAAAAGGAGAAACAAAAGAATGTCTGCCCTCAGAGAGGGAAGGGAGGGAGAGCAGAATTCATTTATTCTCCGATCGGCGGGGACCCACGCAGCTTCTCCTCCCCCTCACCCCACCCCACCGCGCGCCTAAAGGCCTCCGAGAACTCTGCAACAAGAACAGGAGGCAGCTGCGTGCAGCCAGATGGGTTTGGTGGGGGCAGATTCGCCACCTTAAAATAAATAAATAAATAAATCGGGCCGCTCTGGTCGCCTGAGGCCCATTTGCTTTGGCGGCTGAAGAGCGCATTGCACCTCGTCCGCCCTCGCGCGCTCTCTTTGCAAGCAAGGCGCGATAAATCACAAAAACAATTAGGTGAATTCCCCTCCTGTGCTGCTCACCTTCCCCATAAAACGTCTCCGGTGGATAATATCTGTCTACGGGCCACTATAAATTCCAAGCTGCCTTTTAAGGAGAATCAAAAAGGCTGTCGCAGATCAAAACCAAGCCGTAAAAGTTAACAGCGCCGTAAAAGCCAATTCCAACTAAAAAGCCTCTCCAAAGCCTGGCCCTGTCCTTAAGCAGCCAAAGGCCCCCCGGGACTCGTCTCACCTTCCATGGGGCTCTTCTCCACTTTTGGGAGATCGTTGTAAACCTTTCCCCTGGGTCAGCATAGATACGGGCATCTCTTTCTATCAAACGGCTCCAAAACAAACCAGAACCACGAAGGCAACTAGCTACAAGAATTATGCCTACATTTTGAACGTAAAAAAGCAAAATAGAATAAAATAGAATTCTTTTATTGGCCAAGTGTGATTGGACACACAAGGAATTTGTCTTGGTGCAAATGCTCTCAGTGTACATAAAAGATACATTCGTCAAGAGTCCAGAATCATAAGGCACAACACTTAATAATAGTCATAGGGTGCAATAAGCAATCAAATCATACTAGGAAACAGTCAATAGAATTATACTATAAAAAAGCATAGAAACCCAAACCAAAGGCTTACAGCTCCACCAAAGTCGCTTCTCTGGATTTCACATGAAAGACGTGGCACATTTTCCCCCTCTCTGCACCAAAGAACACGGGGGACGGGTGGGAACCCAACATTAGATTTCAGGAAAGTTCAGAGTGCGACGGTTCTTGGGGGACTCCTGGGGTTTTCCCCACTTCCCCAGGCATTGGTGTCTTTCCCAGACCTCCCCAGCGCTCTTCGTCTGCCTGTTGAAGAGTGCTGTGGAGCTGGAAAGCTCGCCAGCTGCCCAAGCCTCACAGCCTGGAGCTCCGAAGCTGCTTTACCGCATCGCCAACACACGCGGAGAGGCCACATAATAACACGATCGATGTCTCAGGGAGGCTTTCGCTCGCGGCGGTGTGGAGCCATCGCGCCCAAGAAATCGCTTATTCGTGATAAAAGTCACATGCCTGAACCGACGCCGGGCAAGAGGAAAGGCGGAGAAAAGGGAAGCCGGGCTTGGCGAGGCGGGACGCAGCCCACGAGGGAAGAGGCCACCCACCTGTGTGCGTCCTTTTGTGGATCTTGAGGTTCTCGGAGCGGGCGAAGACCTTGCCGCATCCCGGGAAGGGGCAGGGGAAGGGCTTCTCGCCCGTGTGCACGCGGATGTGGTTGATGAGCTTGTACTTGGCCTTGAAGGGCTTCCCTTGGCGGGGACACTCCTCCCAGAAACACACGTGGCTGCTCTGCTCAGGCCCCCCGACGTGCTCCACCGTGACGTGGTTGACCAGCTCGTGCATGGTGCTGTAGGTCTTGGAGCAGGGTGGAGTGCCAGTGCCGCCGCCGCCGCCGCCGCCGCCCGCCTCGGCCTCCAGCCACTTGCAGATCAGTTCTTGCTTGATGGGCTGCCGCATGTAGCGCAGGAAGGCGGCGGCGGCGGCGCCCGCGTGGGGCTGCGGCGGCGGCGGCGGCGGCGACGCGTGATGCGCATGTGCAGGCGGGTGCGAGTGGTGGTGCTGTTGCTGCTGCTGCAAAGCGGCGGCGGCCGCTAAGTTGACCGGATAGCCGTGCGGCGCAGGGCCGTAGGACGCTTCGGAGCCGGCGGGCGAAGGGCGGAAGGGCTCGATGCGGCCGTAAAACTCCGCGGCGGCGGCGGCGGCGGCGGCAGCCACGGCCAACCCCAAGCGCATCTGGCCGTTGAGTGGGTGATGCCCGCCGGAGGTGCCGGCCGGGTGCTCGTGCAGGCCCGGAAAGACGGCGGCGTGGAGGTCGCCCCCAGCGCCGTAGGTGCCGGCCGAGGAGATGAACATGGGCGAGCTGGCGGCCGCCGGGGGCTGCTGGAGCTGCGGCGGATCCCCCCGCAAGCCCGGCTCCCGCCGCAGCGCCAGTTCCCTGTCCGTCGCCGGGTAAGGCTGACTAGCCGAGGCGGGAGCCGCGCCGTTGGCGCCAACTCCGCTCCCGGCCGATTGCAAAGAGGCGGCCGCGGCGAAAGTCGCTTCGGGGCTGGCTGGGCTGAGCTTGAGAGCCCCCGCCGCCACGTGCTCCGGCCCGAAGGGGGCGGTAGCAGCCGGGTCCGAAGAGCCCAAGTCCCCCGGGTGCAAGGGATGGAAGCCGCCGCCGCCGCCGCCGCCAAAGGAGTCGGCCAAGCGCAGGCTGGGACTCCTCTTACAACTCAGCGCGGGCTCCATGCCGCCTCCGCCGCCGCCCACTCGCCCATCGAGCCGCACGGGGGTAGCCCGGGCCTGGGCCAGCCCGGCGGGGGCTGAAGCCTTCCTCCCCCTGCCCGCCGCCGCCGCCACCGTCACCAGCGCCGCCGCCTTGCCAAACATGGAGCGATTAAGCGGCTCTTTAACTTCTTTTGTCTCCTCCGCTTCCCAACTCGGCTGCTCATTCCATCCGCTCCCCGCTCTGGCCTCCAGCGATTGGCAGAGCGCTCGGCACATTTGAGCGGCGCGGTTGGGAACCAGAGTTTGGAAATGTGCGCGGGTGGGATTGGAGGGAGAGCGATGATTGGCAGAGGCCAGGGCAGCGCGATTGGCTCCCATTCAGGCCGGGCGCTCAGCAGGGGACCGCCCTCGCGCTCCTGCCTGCGTCCTCCCCCTCCCCTCCCCTCCACCCCCTTTCCCCCCGCTTTCCCGCACTTGCTCCACAGCTTCTTCTCCCCCTCCCTCCCTCCCCCGAAATGGTTGCCCTCGGCGGAAAAGAGAAAGGGAGAGGAAGAAGGGGGGGGGGAGTTCGCGCCTCGTCGCCGAGGAAGCGCCAAGCGAGCGGCGGCCGAGGAGGCCGACTGACTCTCGTCCCGAGTTTCGTGAGGAGGAGCTGTTGGGCTTCCCTGCCACCTGTAGAGCGCCGGGTTGGCAGCTGAGCCAGGCGCTCAATGAACGGCCCTTCCGCCTGCCTGGAGCCTGCAAACTCCGCTCTTGTGGATCTGGCAGCGGTGCCTGGTCTAAAGTCTCGTGTTTACAACAGGTTGTTTCTTTGACGGAAGGCGCGTGGAGAACGACGGCGGTTGTAAGAATCCACATTAAGTGCTGCGCCGTTGACACTCCGGCGACAAGGTCTTATTTCTCCTTGAAGGACCTGAAGGAAGACCCCCCCAATTGCAACGAACTTTCCCCTAACGAGCCCATCCGGCTGAGACCGTCCGGCCTCGGTTCCACGGAGAAGTCGTTGCGCCCATCCCTGAGGGAGTGGGCTTCCCCTCCCCCCTCCCCCCCACGAGCAGAGATGCCATTTTTCCACGCGGGCACTTTGAAGGTCCCGTGGATACCCGTTTCTTCTTCGACCCTCCTTCAACCCAGGCACTGACCTACTATCCCCAAGGCCGCCTCGCGGCTCCAGAAAAGCCGCTGCTTTGCAAGAGAGAGAGAGGCGGCGACGAGGAGAGGGTTGGCGAGCCGCTGTGGAAGAACTGCCAGCGTCCCTTTCGTTAGAGAAAGCAAAGCATTCCTTTGCTTGAATCGCTGGGGCAGAAGGAATTCGTTTCCCAGTATTCCGTCTTAAACGGTCGAGTCTGACAAAAGAAACAGATCCCCCTTATTTAGTTCTTCTCCACATCATCTCCTCCTCCTCCTCTTCCTCTCCTCCCCTCCCTGAATTAATCCCGCAAATGTTAAATCATTACTACCGAACGTCCAAATTTACCTCGTGCCTTTCGTACCTCCTCCTTCCCTTCCAAACTTTGTTTTATCCAAACCGTTTCCTTAACCCTTTGGAGGGGAAAAAATAATACCCGAGACCTCAGAGTGGTCTTTTCTCCGCGTAAAGTTTGTCAGGCCCTCCCTTTTCAAGAAGTATATCTGGCCAGCTCAAAATTGTTTTCGGAAGCAGGAGGTGAGGGGAAAAAACACACCGCAGGAACTCATTCTGGTCAGAAAGAAGGCGAGGAGGGAATGGCGGGCCCCCCAAACCTCTAGCAGCTCCTCACCCTCCTCTTCCTCCACTTCGTTTTTTCTTACGTTGGCGCAGATAGATTATTATTATTATTATTATTGTAAATTCGTACGTTCTCATGACATTAGTGGGATTTGTCTCTCGGGGGGGGGGGGGCGGCTGTAGTGATGGCAAAGCAAGTCTCTACATTTGGGAACGGAGAGGACTTGCTCTTAAAAACAAAAACAAAAAAAAAACTGGGGTGGATGAGGGATGCAGTATTGCGATTCTGCGATTCGGAAACGGAAGAGGAAGGAAAGCGGCCTTTTTACAGTCGGCGTGAGGAACGCGAGGTGCCGCGGGAGCGAGCCTCACAAACGGGGCAGTTGCATTTCCTTTAAGAAAAGTTGGTAGGCTACCTTTAAATAGCGCGCGAAGAGACCGGCTGGGTTCGACGCGCCGCGCTTAGGCTGACTTTTTTATTTTTATTTTGGCGAAGGACCCGTATCTAATTTCAGGCTGAAGCGATGCGGAAAGCGTCCCACGCCAAGTTCAATTCTCCTTGCAGTAAAAATGATAGACTTTCCTTGAGCTTTTAGCCTAGGGAGGGAGGGAGGGAGGAGACCCCTTCTACCAGGAACCGCCCCCACTTTCTCACTTGCCCTCAGGTCGCGAGATAAGGAAGGGCCGCCCGGGTCAGTCATTACAAGCATCTGTTAGGAACTGGCCACCCAGCGAGTAACGCGTGTCCTTCTCATTAAATATCTTCCCGAGCAATATCACCCGCCTTTCTTTCCAAGGAAAAGCAAGCAGATCCAAGCAGGGACTCTATTCGCCTAGCAAGCGTGTTTAGGATTCCAAGTGTCGAGAATAGAGGACACTTTTCAGTGATTCTTTCACCGTTGTGCTGTTCCATCTTCCAGTTAGGATGGGTGCTTAAGTAGGGAAGGATCTTAACCTCAATGCTCAAAGTCAAACCTTTTCACGCAAGGGCCCAGGTCAATCGCAGCGGCGCACCTGAGTTACAAGTACTGCCGCTGCGCGCAGCCGCCTCGAACCCACGTCTTTCTTCGCCCTCTTGTCCAGCACATCAATCTGATATGGAACTGCCCTCGATTTCCAGCGTCTTCATCCAAATTGCTCTCCCCGATCCATTGCTTCGTTGAGGGGGGGGGGGGGGGGGGGGGGGGGGGGGGGGGGGGGCCCCCCAACGGGGGGTTGTTGCAGGGGGGGGGGGGGGGGGTGAGGATCGTAACCTTGCCTGTGGGAGTGGTCGTCCGGTTTGGGACAATGTGGACGATAGCCAAAACTTCTTGGTGGGACCGATTGAATGGAAAACTGCTGTGGAATGACAGACGGGGCACACAAGCTGTTTTTGAAGAGGCCTAATGACCCTGTCAACCCGCGTTCTGCACGCCTTGGGGATGTGAGATTCGCGTCTTGTACACCCAACCCCTGGCCAGGCAACCCAAGGGGCTAAAAAAGCCCATCCTGTGACCCAGACTGTCGTTTTTGTTATCTCGGGCGAAGCAGCAAATGAGGGCAGGCGGAAGACTGCCCCCCCCCCCCACCATTATCATCATCGTCATAATCATCATAATCATCCCTGTTATTATCTTCATCACCGCCGTGGTCGCTGATGGTTAGTGGACCAAGGAGAGCGTCTCGTCTGAGCAAGATAGTAGTAGTTAGGTAGACCTTATTCCGCAATCCTGGAGTGAGAAGTCGGCTCGCTTCTGAATGCAGTAAAGCAGCGAACGGCCGCGCCGTTATTATTAAGCAATTAGTCTGCAAAATCGGGCCTGTCTGTCCAGGATTCGCTCTTCGAAATTGTACAAGGGCGAAACCTTCGCGTTTTACTACTGTGGCTCATTCGAACCCTACCAGAGGAAATAGGTAGAAATTCACTCGGTGATTTCGGTATATAAGGGGGTATTTAATTCGGAAACACCTGTTTTTTTCCATTGATTTCGCCAAATATAGTATATTCCCCATACCAATTACTGTAATGAGTCGCTTTGCTTTCTCCCTTCCAGTTTGTTTATTTGTTTTGTTTATCTCCCTTTCCCTCCTTTCTATTTCAGTCCACCGGCACGTTTCGTAAATCACCTCTCTAGAGTTCGTGTTTTTGTTTGCTTGCTGTTTAAGGCATTTGTTTGACGGTGGCATTATGCAAATATATGATAATGATCTCGAAACCCATTTGCAAGTAGTTGTCTTTAGTGCACACATGTTATTGATATTCGGGGGTGGGGGGTGGGGACGATATTCTAGAATAGAGGAAAAATGCCTTCTGGGGAATAATTAAAACGAGAGAGCAATTAACAGCTTTTCTCAAGATCCTTTAAAAAGCCCTGCCAACAGAACAGGCACCACATTCTTCAGGCGCGCGTGCGTACACACTCTCTCTCTAGCTGTGTTAGTCAACACACTGGATGAAGTCAGTTGAAGTTGGGTTAGTTTTCATTTTGATTAAAGCCCTTCCCTCCTTCTTTCCTTCCCTCCTTTCCATAGCTTGACATGTTCTGTGAACACACCCCAGCTGGTCGCTTTATGTTAA